GTGGTTTTGATACTAAACGAAGCACCGAGAGCGAAACTTTTCTTACGATGAGACTTAACGATATTTTTTTAGAACTCCACTACTTAAAACGAATCGACTTAACTTACGCTATAAAGTCGCGCGCGCACGTCGAGATCGCGGCGAAAACGGAATCTCGCGGCACGTTAAATCGGTTAACGCGTTCCTATAATTAACGAAGACCCTAGGGATTGTCACCTCTTCCGCGCGTTAAGAGATAGTCCGCGGACAGGCTTTCCGATCAACAGTTTTATAAAGACAACAGAACAATCTCCAGACAACTCGGCAAATCGATTTAATTTCTTTCTCGTTTAAGAGAGAAGTTTAACGTTCAAGTGCAAACGGGAGCTGGGATTTTTCTTTTGGTTGGAAAACTCTCCGAACGAACGTTGGCGCGCAGGTGACAATCCCTGCTAACGATCCAGACGATCTCCCATCTCCCGCCGATCGATTGACGATAACATGTGAAAGGTATATCTGCAATCATCCGATTTTTCTTAAAAACTTAGAGAGATCCTCGAAACCTCTATTCACACACACATATATGTTTGCGGAATGTTTGATCTTTGAACTTTACGCGATTTAGATTATATTCTTCAAAAAAAAAAAATTTATTTTAGTTAGTTAGGAAAAACTCTTGAGAATTATAGAAGATTGTTATGAAACTTTAAATTTTGAGCAGTTGTGCGGCGAATCAGCAGAACTTTGTGAATTTTAGCGTTGTTATGTCAGAATTAATATAAATTATATAATTATATGTATATAGAAAAATATTGTGATTATTAGATTGGGAAGCGGGGATTCCTAGAGTGTGTTTTTTCTGAAATATATATGTATATATAGTCTAGTTCTTTACAATTTTACCCGAATATAAAATAGAGAATTTCAGAATCCTTGAATTTTTAGGTTTTGGATTTAGCGTGTTTTTTTTTTTTTTTTTTTTTAATTAGATCTCGTTCGAATCTTTGCAGCTTTAATATTTATCATTCGAAACGTTTCATTCGTGGCTCTCTTTTCTCTCGAATTTTAACAACGAGATATATTCGTATGTTTTATCAAAACGCCAACATTCTATTCGAAATATGTCCGATGATGTAATATATGCCAATCAAAATTTCAGAAAAAAATAAAATAAATATAGAAATAAAAATAAATAACAAGCTTGAAGAACCAACTCACAGAGTGTTTTGCAGAGAGTCTGTTTTGCTACACGTCTCTGAAACTTATACATTACTCTTATATATAATGTAGCAGAAACCACAAGTACAAGATACTGCCCATCAATTCTGAAGGACATGCATCCCTTTCCACGTAACCGTTGAAAATACGCAACTCTTCCTTATCCCGAAACATGTTTTCGTATTTTACATTTTTACGTACGAATAAAAAAAGATAGAATAATTAATAATCGATATAGAAATGTGAGACGAAAGAAAACTTATAGAGAAGAAAAAAATTTAATTTAAAATTACTTTTAAACACTTTGCAAGTTTCTTTCCTTTTTTCTTGTTAAGTTATTCTCTTAGCTAGGCTGCAATCAAGATGATGAAAAAAACCACATAAGCAAAAGCGTGAAAATGAGAGAGAAAATGTGTGTGAAATTGTGTGTACGTGTGTGTGCGAGAGAGAGAGAGAGAGAGAAAGAGAAAAAGAGAGAAGAAAGAGAGAAAGAGAAACAAAAAATATTTTATTTTATAAGACCTTGTAAAGCGTAAACATCAATGTGATAGTTGAAAAAATCGATTCTCTTCGTTTTTTGCTTATGTAGTTTTTTCCGACATCATCTCGTTTTCAGAACTCTTAATTTTCACAAGCTATTTTTTCGTAATTTCGCTCACGGATGTGTACGTAGTTTTCCATTTATTTTATACATGCAAATGACGCATATCGCCATCAACGACTCTCAGATCCGCTTTATTGAAGTTGCATATATGTATATTATGTATTCACAATAAAATCGATACTTCGCGAAATTGGCTATAGGATCGTGGGAGATCATCCCCAAAGCTCTTTCTACGCTGCATCTTCTGTGTATCCTTTCGATATTGAGTCGGCTTGACAGGTCGAGCTCACGAGGAAGTGTAACACAAGGTGTCGTCGTCTTGATACAATATTTCACTTCGTTGTGCTTACGGTGTATGTATCTTGTACGCGATTGAGCGATCATCCTTATATAGAGCTATTATAATTACATTATTGTAATTATATCGCGTGTATACACAGACGAGATTATTCAATCTATCGACGAGCCGGTTTTCATCTATGAGCGGTTCTTTGGCTACTTTAGACAGTTATTCTTTTTAGCGCAAATGTCTTTGTGTTCTTTGTCTTAAATCATTAATTTCCTACTCATTAAGGTTTTAATACTTTTAATTAAGTTTTTTTTTAATTACAAAGTTAACATAAATGTATTTAAATTATTTAAAAACAACAGAGTTAACTATTGAGAAATGAGATTTTATTTTACAATTGAATGTAGGATAGAAATCACCATATTTTTTATACGGAAAAATTCCGATTCCAATCGGGTCAAAGAATTCATAGAGTAAACACAACTCGTTGTGAATCCGGCATTTGCTGTATTTATTGAGGATTTGGTTAACGAAAATATAATAGTTTGTGCACACATCGCAAATATTGGAAATATAATTTTTACTTCGGTAAACTTGCATATTCATCAAAATGTAGTTTTTCTTTTGGCGCCCGTGAAACTTGTTATCTCTGATATTTTATAAATTTGGAATTTTTGTTTAATAGGAGAGATTTCGTGGAACTTGTATATATAAGATTGAAATATAAGATACACGCATTTTTCTTATTTCAATTTCATGTGCACGTTTAGAATCTTGAACACTGTTTAATTTATATAAAAAATTTGCGTTGAACCTTGAAACTTTTTCTGAATTATCGTAATTTTTCATTTTTATACATAACTAATAATGTAATTTTTTTACATATAATTAATGTATAATTTTTATATATACGTATATAATTTGTTGTAATATACAATTATCTCTTTCTCTCTCTCTCTCTCTCTCTCTCTCTTTTTCTCTCTCTCTCTCTCTCTCTTTCATATTAAGATGACAGATGTACCGATGTCGATTGTATTGAAACAATCAGACATATTTCTGTGATTCCTAGACTTGAACAATTGTAACGATGCTGAGGTATTTTCACTTAAAAAATTTATGCGAGCGATAGCGTTCACATCCTGTGTTATTAAATTTCTGGCAAAAGCGCGTTTCTTTTCATTACCAGCCACTCGGAGTTTGTGCCAATCCCTTAGCGCTTTGAATATTAAATAGAGAAACACAGCACAAATAGATTTCTCTTATGTGAAAATAATCTTGCGAAAATTATAAAAATTATTATATATGTTTAGTCAATTCCAAAAACATTCTGTAATAAGTATAAATACATTCTCTTGATTTTCTCTCTTTTATAGGTGTAAATAAAAAAATTGTATAAATTTTATAATGTATAAATTAAACACATACATAAATTGTTTTAATATATAATAGGAAAGAACGCTATCGTTCTCGTATCGCTTTAATCTAAAGAAACAAATCCTACGCAACGAATCTTGAAAGTAGTCAATATCTAATCAATTCCGAGGATAGGATCAACTTTTTAGGGGATATAATTAAATGGAAGGGGAAGAAAAAGAAAGAGCACATAACCCCATTAAATTTGTAAGCGAGAGGAGAGGTATTTCGACACACGATAAGTATCTTCCATTATTAGATATCCGGATATCAACGGTGGAGTTGCGTTACGACAAGTTTGCTATTATAAAAATTGTGGGATGCGACTTTATGCGAAAAAGTGTGTGTATATACGTCACGTGTATTAATTATTAATAGCGGCGACACAGAAACGTAGCACATATTTTTAAAGGAGAGAATATTACGAACGCCATGGCACTAAACGGATCGATTACATTGCGATCCCGCGTTATAAAAATAGGGTCCCGGGTCGATACTCTAAAAAACTTAGCGTAATCACGAAGCTGATCGATCACTATTAAAAAAAAACAAAAAAAAAAAAGAAAAAAAAACAAGGGACGGAACGCGCGTAAATGTAAACTATTACAATGTCTATGAACCAACGCGTTTTCATGCCGAGAATAAATAAATTTGCAAAGTCGGAAGGATGCGTTTGTCGATCTTTTTATTCCTCTCTTCCGTCAATTCCTACACTTCCGAAAAAAACTCATGCATCAAAAAATATCGAAAAAAATGTACACTGCGACGCATTAACGTCTTTCGCAAGTAAAATTCGCCTCTCTTGTGCGACTCTTCCGCAAGACATTAATGCACCGCACACCGCAGGCCGTTCCAAAGTTAAAAGATATTTATTAAATGACAAATTCTTTTGACATATTTTGCGATGTTTTATTTCGATCTCTTCAGATTTCTTTCGTGTAATATCACAAACAAAGACAGATGAAAAGAAAAGCATCATACTACAAATTTTATATAAAAATATCTGGCAATGTAAAACATATTTTTTCCAGATTTTCGCACAATAGTAATAAATATATTTAAAAAAAAAAGGAAGTTTACACTTATGTATATAAAATATCTCTAAATGTTTCGAGACAATTTTTCGTATTATTTGTGCACAAGTCATTCAGCAATCGAACCAAAACGTCAAAAATGAAATAAAATGACACCATATATAAATTCTATATACATATATATATGTACGAATACATAGAATTCTTTATATATATGTATGTATGTATATATGGTACATTAAAGATATATATTTATATTTCTATACATTAATGCAAAATGAATAAAAAGAAAGAAAAATATTGTAATTTAAGCATTTTTGTCTCGCTTTTTTTAATTTTTATCTTATTTCTGAGCTATTGTGCACTGCATTAAATTATTCACACATTAAATCGACGTACAAGTGAATTAATTTATATACTAAACTTTCATATATCAATATTAAGAAAATTTTGTTCTATCTTGTTGCATTTCTTAAGAGAAACTTAATAGTATAAAGAGTTCTATCAGTTTGTTTTGTTTTGGATTTCTGTCGTCGTCACTGACTCATTCTGCGTAGTCTCGTTAGAAACAACGCTTTGTTCGTTGGCGTTAGTCATAGATCTCGACCAAGAGCAACTTCTTCTGTTCGGGGACTTCGGCAAGGACCAAGAACTGCTGCGTGATTTTGGTCTGGGTGACACGGAACGCGATTTTGCTCGTGTGATTTTGACGGAAATGGATCTTCTTCTCTTACGATTCTTGAGACTACCGCGGGACCTGGAACGACTTCTTGATCGCATCTTTCGTCTGGATCTGCGCGTTCTGGATCTTGATCTCGATCTACTTCGCGAACTACTGCGTCTCTTGCTGCGTGATCTGGTGTCGCTCTTGCGTTTTGCCTCGGAGCTCGATCTCGTGCTCGTTCTTTTTTTCGAGATCGATCTGCTTGTCGATTTTCGTCGACCGCGGGACCGAGAACGATTTCTGGATCGCGATCTGGAACGACTTCTGGATCGCGATCTGGAGCGACTTCTGGGACGCGTTCGAGAACGACGGGATCGCGATCTGGATCTTGACCTCTTGCCGCGACTTCTGGAACGTGAGCTACTACGCTTTCTGTTGCGCGATCTAGAAGCACTCCTGGATTTAGAACGCGATCTGCTCAATGATAAAGATCTATTTGTCGTTTTTCGGCGGTCGGTCAGATTCGAGTTCCGATGCTTCGAGTCCCGATTCGCCAGGTGAGTGAAGTATTCATAATACTGTCCGTCGTACAAATAAGGATTGGTCATCGCGTACGACTCGTATCGAGGAGGAAAGAATCCTCGACCCATGCCGTGACGATAACCTTGTCCTCTTGACATCCTGGGATAAGATCCTGGTATGAACGTTTGCAACATCATGTCAGATCTCGGCATCCTATGAAACGGTCCGGATACGATCGGAGGCAACATCGATATTCTTGCCATCGAGTCGGAATAGGCGTTAGCGTAAGCAAAATTCGCAGCTGAAATAGTATCTACAATTAAAGTAATCGGTATTATTGTATGCTCGTGCAAAAGTTTATTTAGACAGCTTTGCGTTATATTTGTTCATGATATACCTGTAGACGATGAAGTGCGAACGTTCTTTATCAGGACACTCTTGAGCTTTTTATTGTTTGTTTCCTTATTCCCATCATCGTCACTTGAAGTATCCGAACCGGAGTCTTTTTTTCGCTTCTTTGTTTTTTTCCGTTTTCCCTGTTAACAATAACAGTACAAAGTTAATTATATCATGTTATATAAAACAAAAGCAATGCGAATTTTGTATAACAAAATATGATACTAAAATATCCAATAAAGCACCTTTTTTTTCTTCTTTGCTTTCTTCTTGGCTTGCTTCTCTTTATTTTTCCTGTCACTTTCCGCATCTACTTTCTTATTTTCGTTTGAATCATTCTTATTTTCGTTCTTATCTTCGTTCTTTCTTTCCGCATTTGTACCTTGGTCAAGCTTGATTTCTTTTTTTTCCACTTTTGTCTAGAAATGTGAGAGATATATTTATAAAGTTGTTATTGCACATTCTTTGTGTGTGTGTGTGTGTTACTCACTTTTATTCTATCAAATAATTCGTCTAATAATCGTATGCTTTCCAACTGTCGTTGAGCTTTTATTAACTTCTGTTCTTCTCTAGCAATTTTCATTGACACTTTGTCTTCTTCTTGTTTACGAAACATCGTGAGAGCCTTACGCTTTCGTTTTTCTTCCCGCTTGCGTTGTCGGCTCGCTTTTGCTACTGTATTCTCTTCTTCTTTTTTTCTACAATAAAAATAGTAGCATATAAATAAATTTTATATCAAATAAATATAAATGAATGTTATATCAAAAGAATAAAATACAAATTTTTATTCAACATATCTCACATTATATATCTCGTGTTTCACTTACTTTAATTCCTCTCGCCGCTTCCTTTCTGCTTCTTCTTTTTTACGTAGTTTTTCTGCCGCCAAGTTGTCCTGTGCTATTAAACGCTTTCTCTCGAATTCTCTGTGAGACACAGAGCTATCGCTCATGTGCTTGGTCTTGTCAAAGTCAACCTGCAAGAAATTAGTTTTTTAATTGATGCGAATGAGGAAAACAACCGGGAGAGAGCTATTATACATGTCATACGTATTTTTACTAAGACTACCTTTATTGTTGTGGTCATCGAATTCTGACCGTCTTTTTTCAACAGCTTCATACCGCGCAAAGCATCCATTGCCTTAACAAAGTCCATGTATTCAACGTACTGTATATACACGTCAAAAAATATGCCGTCCTCATAACTGAATTTGTGAATGTTGTTGCCAAGCCGCATCCTGGATCTGTAAGGATCCGCAATAGGCACATCGATCCTTCTAAGTGTACCCCATTTTTTGAATATCTGTGTGATGAGTGATTCGCTCGGGCTACTTGCGCCATCGTCAGTGAACCATTTAACTGGCAGACCTGAAATATGTATAGTGTCTGGTCTTTCGCCAGGCTTCAACTCATTCATATGTTTTGCATCTCTGAAGTAAGAATCCCAGCTATGTCTGGTTGGAAAGTCATCTTTCGCCTCTGCTGCACGTATCTGATGAACACACATTTAGAGAATTTTCAAAATATACTATTTATCAAACACCAGAAGATAGAACTTAGCTGCACTTAGTTGTAACACCTTGAGAACATTCGGAAACCCAGCCAGATTCAAATGTTGCATGTCCAATCTAGCCAATACCCTTGACAATCTTGATTTGTCCTGCAGATCGCCTTCCAGTCGTATTGTTTCCAGAGTGCTTTTGGCCACTTTCAAAGATGAGAATTCGTCGGGCAGTATGAACTTGCGTATCTTCTCCATTACCTCCCATGTTGATATTGTTTTGCCTGTTTATAGCGCAGTTAAGTTTCTGTAAGAAGCTATCTTTGCTAGAATCATTACAAGTGTTCGTAGCATCACACGGATCACTTTGGATCGTGGTATTATCTTCCATCAGTTGCACATTACATTATTCGCCTGTTGATAGAGACAGTTGAGAAAAATTCGCAAATACGAGAGCGACAATGCAATAAACTTTCAGGACAAAAATAAAATCTTAACAGTGAGTGATTATTAAGATAAATATAACTAATTAAAGTGATGTGCGACGAAATGAGGAAAAAAACTTGTTATTTTTTATTAAGAATAATTTACAAGAAAGTTATCCAATTTATTACTACTTTTTAATTTTGTTGCATGTTTCCTCTATGTATATTCTCCAGCTATGACATGACATGACATGGGACAAATAGCTAATGAGATAAAAGAAAGATGATAGATAAAAAAGACATATATATATATGTAAAGAAAAAACAAGATATTTAAGAAATATGCAATCTCCAAGAAATATGGTTGATGCTTTACCTTGGATCTTCAGTTGAGGCAGATTGACTGACACATTAATTTTGGCAAACGGTTTCAAGTAAAGCGAACGCGGTGGATACAGCGGTACGATGTCGCTTAGATCCCTACAGCTTCGAAATCGATTAGCAACCTCGCTACTGGGAGTTTCACCTACCTGCTTATTGCCGCTCATTTTGTCTCATAAACTAAAGGAAGCTGCTATTAAGAGCACATGAATACAATATATAAATGTTTTTATTTGATTTCTCTTACAAGCTCAGAGAGAACGCCTCAGTAGGGAGGTTGCATTTGTGTCGCGAGAATCTTCATTGTAGATTTCGTGTTAACACTACGGAGAGATTTTCGTTTTATTTATTTTTTTGTTTTTTTAGAAATCTTGGACAATACTGTCTTTAATTTGTTACACGTGTGCCAGCAATGGAAAAACTCATTTGGACAAAAATCAGTACAAACTGTTACGAAGAGCGTTTCAGAACAGAACTAGTGAGTAACATATCAGTGTTGACCTGTGTATGATTTTTTTCTCTAAATTTTGACGAGATTCATTCCGGTACGTCGTGCCAGATAGCGACACTGTTGACATTCCCCATCCGAGGATCTCGAATCCAATACCGTATGAGCGAAAACATCGCTGGTAAAGTGGTTCGAGTCTTCGTAAGATCAGAAGAGACTCGAACCTATTAGCGAAGATTTAAATCATCGTTGGAAACATGTGGTTCTGAGATTCAGTGGTTATGAACTTTTCAGTAAAAATAATAAATATATAAAATTTTCTTTCTGCGTCGGGAAGTAAACAATTATCCGTTCAATTACCATTTTGTAAGTATTCTAAAGAGGTAAAAAAATATTATTTTTTTATATTTATTATTAAAAAAAACTAAAACACAGTCTAAGAAACATTTTTTATAAGTCAACAATTACGAATTCTGTGTGACGTTTGACGTTTAAAATATGTTCTCGTTGGAATCGAGAATTACGCGACTTACGTATTATTTCGTAACGATTTTTTTATAAATGGAACATATCGAATAATGTTTCCACACTTCGACTCACACATCGCGTTTACCGAAGGCCACCTTGTCAAACGCAAGTGTGCGCTTCACACGTCACTTTCGTGTCATTTCCTGTAAATACAAACGACGGTCTCTTGTCATGTCGGGAACACCAGCTCCTGTTCGATCATTAGAGTCATGTGACATTAAGCACGTGGTGAACTTTAGACAGGTGACCGTACTGTTATATCGGTGGTTCAAATTTTATCCACAAAGTTGTAGGTCCACTTGATTCTTGTTCTCATAAAAGAGAGAAAGATTTACTGTTGTTTTGATAAGATTTTAAATTTTGATTTTTATTTTAAATAAAAAGTAAAATCAGAATTGCGTATATATAATATATAGGATATACATATATATATATATATATATATATATATATATATATAGTTTTTTCTCTTTAACCATATGTGAGAAAACGCGCCAAAGTAAGTGATTTGCGAGAACACGTGCCAAGACATACGACATAATAGTTTTCGAATATACACCCCTCATTACACGCCCCTTACCGGTTCGAATTGCCGCCTGTCCCCCCAGTCGAATCACGAACTATGCGAAAACGCATATTGACAGCATTCGTCATCGATATCCTGGCGTTTCTCTTTATTATGGAAATCTTGTGTAAAAAAAAAAAAAAAAAACCCGCCCTCGGGACGATAAAATGCCGACGATAAAAGGCGAGGTTGCGGATCGTTAATGAGGGCGGATATGCTCGCCCACGTTCGGCGCATGAAATTTTCCCATGTGAGCATATCGCCGGGCTATTAATTATCACGCCATCGCGAAGGTGGTATTTCGGATCGTCGATGTTGTGTTCATTATTATTACGCGTAAGAGATTCCGGAAGTATCTCGCTGTGATAATCTCTTCTCCCATCGCACAATTTTTAAAAAGGCGCGAACATATAATAAATATAGTAAAATATTTTTTCTCACACGCACATCACACATAAACTTCCTCCTACCTATATTAAATTTCACTCTCTAAAAATTTATTACCGCGCCGCAACGCACTTATCAATTTACCACCGTTAATGAAGATAGAAATTTTAATAGCGTTGTAACATTCTCGTTTTCCAAAAAAAAAAACGGACAAAATTACTGAACAATTGTTACAATAAAATAGCGCGTCGAAAAAAGATAAATAAAAAAAAAAAAAAAAATCATCAAACTCTCAGGGGTCGAAACAGAAGTGTTAGCCGCGGGGTTGTAAGTTAACCCCGCTAACTGGTCGCGGAACACGAGCGTTCCCGACGGGGGGGCTCGCCGTCGGGGGTGTTCGTTATGCTGCGAGCCTTTTGAGAGGGTCACGTGCCCGTGCGGCAGACCCTTCAAGCCGATATCGTATTTGTACAACACGCACGGCCATTATTGTAATACGCTTGTTTGTGTGTTTTGCGCAGTCTTTGTGCGCTTACACCCCCTACATGATCTGTTCTCTTCTCTCCACATCTCTCCGTTTCTCTTCCGTATTTTTCCTATCTTTTTTTTGCTTCCTTTTCCATTCCTTTCTCTCTCTCTCTCTCTCTCTCTCTTTCTTTTTTTTCTCCCTTCTTCTCTGTGTCTTTTGTTTTCTTTTTCCTTATCTCTTCTTTCTGACTCCTCGCAGCCTCCGCTCGCTGAGTTTTCGCACACTTGTCGCGCGGAGTTATTATTGCGAGCGACGGGTTATTATTGTCCCGTGAAACAATGAGCACTCACAATCTGCAGGAGGGTAGGATACGGCCTCCCTCGCTTCGACGGTTTACGTGGGAAACGTCGTGGCTTTTTTTTTTTTTTTTGTTTTATCGAGCGCGTGCAGTTTTTTTTCTCTCAAGCATCGTGGGACAAGAGTAAGACAGACGTCTGTCGCGCATCACTGAACTTCTCGATGATTCTTTTAATTTTAATTGAAAAAACGTATTATCGACGTATAACCGATTCCATTATCGTAATAATATCATTACCTATTGCAATCTTTTTTGTCTTGACAACTAAATTCTCTATTTATTTATTATTTTCAATCTACCTAATAGATCATATTGTTCGCAAACTCAAATTGTTTTTAATTTCTCTTTCATTAAGTGAAGAGAAGACAGAAAAATGTGATTGCTTTGCTTTATCGTCCAAGCAACAAAACACTCCGTCATTTTTTTTAATCAAAAAAAGCCACATATAAATTCGTAAAATTTGCAGATATCGATTTTCAATCATCACGTGCTTCGCTAATTTAATTGAGCCGTTGCGGGGATTACAATGGCATGTCAATCGGGTGGACCGCGAGCCATCAGCGCGCAACCTTCAGGTCTCTTCGCTCTTCATGGGTGGCTGGCGATCCAAAGTAAAGAAAGAGAGAGAGAGAGAGAGAGAAAAAGAAAGAAAGAGAGAAAGATAGAGAGAGAGAGAGAGAGAAAAAGAGAGAAGGAAAAAGAGAAGAGGAAAGAAGTGGGCCGCATCGTATATAAATAGCGGAACATTATCCTATCTCCTGCGGTGGTACCGCGGCTGTCTTCTTCTCGGACTTGCACGTGCGCGGGCGCACTTGGTCTCTCTTTCGACGGTGAGGTACCCTCTCTCGGGCTCCGCGCGCTCTCTTCTCGGCATCATCGGCTCACGGTGTCGTGCACTCGGCCCGCTCGAACGTAGATGATGGGATGACGGACCGCGGGCGTGTCCGAGTAGCCGATACCGGGCGCGTGATCGGGAGACCTCCCGGGGCCGACCACCCTCGAGGGGCCACGAGGGTCGACTTGTTAGCCAGACACAACGGGCTCTCGAACTAACGGAGTGCTCTCCTCGAGCCGACGACAGCTACAAGCCGACAATGTTTCGCCTGCACCTTCGTATATATTGCCCGTGCGCGTGGCAAATATTTCCGTATTTGAATTGCAACTCCTCGTTCTTTCAAAACACCCTCTTTCCGTGAAAGAGGTTCCCTATAGAATCCACTCCGGGTTTTCTCCGAACAGCTATCATCTATACGTGCAGAGAGAGAGAGAAAGAGAGTATTTTATTTTCCCCGGTATTAAATTATATTGGATTTGAAATATTTCAGCATATATATATATTAAACGTCGCGGTAGCAATTCAGTTGACAGAACACAGTTAGTCTCGCTTCTTCATCCGCAGAAGTCAGCTTTGCGTTCCTCTGTCTCGGATTATCCTGTCCCGTCGTGAACGAGTTTGTATTCAGGAAATACATTCCGGATTCCATCGCGGTAGAATCACGCGAATCATCCTCCGCCGCGATAGCGGCGACTTCGTGATCGAGGGAATATATACACGTGTATATGCACTTCGCATAATTCTTCCGACGAAATACCGGGACGAATAAACCAAAATTTTAGGACCGCGATTCCCGGGAACTCCCGTGTTTTCTACGAAAACAAAACAAAATGTGATTATTTGGTCCGAAGTCTCCGATGCGAACCGAAAGCGAAACCGTGTAAAAGTTTCGGCCTACCTTAATGAAGGTACATTCTTCTCCCGGTCGCGCCGATCAAGATATCCTCCGTATAAATCGAATGCTTTTCACCGAGGCTCAATCAAGCCATACGGTAGCCTAAAAAATGCCACCATGGGGTTAGGCCTGCGATTAGGATCATAAAGAATTGCTGCGGGTTTCGAGCGAGATTCGCTCGCGCGAATCGCTGTCGAATCCCATCGTACTGTCGAATAGAGTGCGACAAAACGACGAGAGAAAATATATAGACGAGTGCGCGAGTTCATTTTCAAAAAATTTATTAATTTGATCTATGATCAAACTCAGCTCGCACTTTAAGTCGAGACGACGTGAGTTAATTCTCGGCTTCGACAGACTCAGAGAGAGTCTGTCTCGAGAAACACATTTAATTCAGTATATAACACGTAATCCTAATTCAGTATTCACTAATTTATCAAAATAAGAACTCATCCAATTGCTTCTTCAATATTTCTCCTGATGATTCTATTATAAATCTTCTGAGATCTTATCTAATCGTTACTTAAGTGTGACTATTTTACGGATACCTATAAAATATTGCAATTCTATCGAAAGGACATTAAAAATTTCCCTTAGCGCGATGATGAAGAAGTGGAGGAGCGAGGTTATACGGAAAGCGCAGTTCGGATACATGCGGGAATATCTTAGGACACCGCCCACGGGTATACTAACGATTCCCCGGGGTCGTCATCCTTCTCTTAATTAATGGCCATTCTCGTCTTCTTCCGTGCGTCCTTACTCTCGCTTTCGTGTCGGCGATGATAGTGCTCCTGCTCTCTCTCCTCTCCCTCCCCGGATTCTCCTCCTCTTCTTCTTCTTCTTCCTCCGCCCGCGCTCTTTTTCTCTTTTCACCTTCTCTCACTCCGTCTTCCTCCCTCTTTTCGACCTCCTCCTCGGCTACGCGTTTTGCGAGACTCAGCCGAGTAGCGACCTAAGCGTAATCAGGCCAAGCACGCAAATTAAAGTCTCTCTCGTCGGTCGACCCACCTCGC